TATGACATGAATAAAAACATTAGGGATATTCATATATGACAAGAGAGGGTCAGTGCACATGTATCCTCCCAAGTGGGAGCTATTCTTTATGTGACCCCACAACTGATGGTGCACACTGGGGTCACAACTGGTTTACATGGGCTATTCTGGGGTTACAAGCATGCACCTCTGCAGATGAAATGTTGCTACCATTCTGGGGGTACATTTTGTGCACCAAAATGTGACACAACAGGAGTATCACACAATAATGCACTAACTGTAACCTTGGGATTACTTATTATTTGTTTACAAATGTGACCCTGAGTAATCCTGGTGTGAACACACAATTGATGCACATTAGGGACATACATGTGCAAAAGAAGAACTTTGGTACACTTCACGTGCACAGCAGGGTCACTGTGTAGAATGAGGCATATATCCCCAGTGTGCACCAATTTCCCCACTTGGGATGGGTGTTGGATATGGTTAATTGATAATGACTTGGTGTACCTAATCTCACTTTTCACAGCAAATTTTATAGTGTTCATCATGCATGCAATATTATGGGAAGTTCATTGGGACTCTATTTCATAACTTTGATTAATCATTTTAAAGATGTATATGGAATTCAGGGACTGTTTTCAGAAGCACATTTCTTCCTGCTTTTGGAGTGGAAATAGGGAATTATACAAAAACTAGGATGAAAAAAAAAATTTATCAGAACCCTTATTGTAGAAATAATAGTGCATGAGTACATGACTTTTGTGACTAGAAAATGCGAAGCACTTGTACAGTACTGTACTACGTATCAGCGAAGAAAAAATTCAAAACATTAAGCTACAAATTGATAGTCATATGAATAACACGGGTAGAGATTGTCCATTATTTGGAAACCCGTGCAGTGTAATCTTTATACACAGAGTACAGTACTTTACAGCGTACACAGTATTGGGTATCCGTGGTTGGGAAGCCCGAAGGATTCAAAACTCGGTTCCCGGGCGCCGGAGGAAGAGAAGGACAGAGACCAACGCCCTATAGCCATCCGCTTGGTAACTTCAAANGTGCAAGTGGAGTATCTGCCACCAAACTGCACTGCATTTTTTCAGCCTCTGGACCTGGGCATAATACAAACTGTGAAAGTTCATTACAGGAAAAATATTTTTTAAAAATTCTTGCAAACATTGCATGTTATAAAAAGGATACTGACGTTGACATCAAGCAGGCAATTGAAATGATTGCTTGTGTCTGGTCAATTAAATTTTTTGCTCATGCTCTGACATTGCAAGTGATGAAAAATATGATCTACTGAAAAAAGCTGAGGATGCATTGCCAGCAGCAGTGAATAATAATTTTGTTCAGAAGAAAATCACTGATTTTTTTTCAAACAATCATTTGAGTTCTTAAACTGAAAGACAAGCCTGATTCAGAATATATGCGCAGATCTGAGCTGAAAAAATGTTTCCAGTCATTTTTTTGAAAATCTTGTTACAACAAATTATCCGTTATAACAAACTTTTTCTGTGGTCCCCAAAAGTTTGTTGTAACGAGTTTTTACTGTATTTGAAATCAGGCTTGTCTTTTGGTCCAAGAACTCAAATTATTGTTTGAAAAAACCAGTGATTTTCTTCTGAAAAAAATTTCTTGTTCACTGCTGCTGGCAGTGCATGTTCAACTGTTTTCAGTGGATCATATGTTTTGTCACTTGCAATGTCAGAGCATGATAAAAAATTTTAAAGCATTCAAAACCAGCAAAAGCATCAGCTGCACTTATTTTCTGCTCACAAACTGATTCCATCCCCTCATTTTCATCACTACCACTTCATTTGCAGATTGCACCTCTGTATTATGGATGATGTTTTCCAACATGACATTTGGTGCACCACTTGAGACAATCAGCTGGTTATCAGCAGCAACAAAGTCATCAAATTTAACTTGTGCAGGAATATCCAAAGACCTTTCAGCAAGTGTTGTCCAAAGCCATGTCAATGATGCCACTCTTTTTCCAGGAATTCAAAATAGTTTTCCTGGTCACAGCTGAACAGGCACAAGCAATCATTTCAATTGTTTGCTTGATGTTGATGTCAGTATTCAATGTTGCTAGATGGTACTTCTTGAAACCATGCAAACACATCCTTGTCCAGGTCATAATTTGCTTGCAATGAGGTCCCATGTTGAAGTCACTCAATTTAATTTTTGACAAAATTTTCAAAATTGTTGACAAAGTTGCTGGCATAATTCAAAATTTACTTGCCACCTCATTTTTTGCCACCATCAACTGCAGCAAAAATGCTTGGCTTCTTATCAAGAGTTAATTTTTGGCGTTTTCTTTCTTGCAATTTTTCACTCCCCATTCCATGGACTGCCAAAAAAGCCCACATCATTTAAAAAAACGCTAACTGCAGGGTGAAACCATGAATCCAAGCTGAATGATTGCATATTTGTGCTTGAAATTTGTCTTTTCATGATCGTTAGTTTCCTAGAAGAAAAATTGACACAATTTTGCCCAATAAAGATCAAGGCAAGATTTGTTCAAGAAATTTGACTGATTTTTGTAACCCTCTAAATCCAACTGGTATGCATTGCTGTGTGTAGAGACATGAGAAAAGGAAAAAACAATGAAAAATGCGCTGAAATGGGAAACACAAGCAATTTAAAATTACAATTAATTTGTGTGGCCAAATGTTTTTATCTTTAATATTACCAGCAATTCTTTTCATACCATTCCAAGCATTCCACAGTATCCAGAACTAACAAATAAAAAATCCTTACTGTGTTCACAAATGTGTGTTGAACAGTCTCTGTCCCAAGTTGCACTGGAACCTCTTTAACAATGGATGGGACATGAATTTTTTTAATCTTTCTGAGGTGCATTGTTTGTTTAATCTTTCTGAGGTGCATCTTTTTTTTTTAATCTTTAGAAGATGCTGGAGAACTGCTCCTGGTTTGGATGGGTTCTGTAGACTTCTTGGTTCATGGTTTGATCCTGTAGATTTTAAAAATGTATTCCAGAGGGAAGTCATCCTTGCTGGAACAGTTCTTCTTTTAAAGTTTTGTTGTTGTTGACTGTCCTTCCTGTAAGTTCATGGGAAACAGCAAGTTTGGATTAACCTCTAGGGGTGCTAACAATTCTATGTCACAATTTTGCAGTGTTCCAGGGAAGTGGTTTCATGGAGGGGTGGAAAAAATCCTTCTCCTGGGTGGGTCCCATGGAGATTTTGAAACATTTGTGTCCTCCATTGAGGCCTCCTTTGTTTCAGGCCTCAATGGTGTAAAACACAAACAGATTTCCAGTAATTTTTCCTAATTTTTCAAAAAAAAAGAGAAAAATTGCGTCAAAAAGTTTATTATAGCGGAATCCCAAGTTTGTTATAACAAGATTTTTAAAACATGTATAGTCTATATAGGCTCTCTGCCAGGACTTGAAAAAAAGTTTGTTGTATGAAAAAATTTGTTGTAATGGTATTTGTTGTAACAAGATTTTACTGTAATTTTAAACCAACCAGAGTTTATACAGAAGTAATGTGTACCCCAATAAGTCTAAGCACAGGCAGAGCTGGTGGACATTGGGCCACTCCTGTGAAGAGACAAAGGGGTCACACATGTAACCTTATTGTGGTAGGCATACAAGTTACAGTAGGTCTACAACTGGGAGACACTAAATGTCTATGCCATGGTTACACTTATATCCCAGGTGTGAACATCACACAGATGGTGCATGGCTACTTCTGTATGCCCAAAAAGAGGGTCAAACAAGTACTGTACTCCTATTGTAGCAAGCATAAGAGTTATAGGAGGTATACACCTGGGAAACACTGCACCTCAACACCAGGGTTACAGATAGCTGGATATATCCCAAGTGGGACCATTCAGAAGGTAGCATTCACTCTAGTTCTTCCAGGAGTTGTATAGCTGGAGCTGGGTTATAATTTTTATTGTTCTGAATGCTGAGGCTGATGGAAATCTAAAACATACACAATTGGTTTTATGATCCAAAAATGGTTTTTAAGTGTGGTTGTGAATGCAGGTGACATCTCAACAGCGATGAAATTCGAGAGACCAATTTTTAAAAAATCTGGATGGGGAGAGCCCTATTTTACTAAGAAAAAGCGTTATATAAAGAAAAATAATTAAGACATGATATTGGTATAGAGAGTGCACCTGTAATACAGTACAGTATTATTCCTGTGCAGGAAAATACTGAACAGTACCGTATTTCGTGAAAGGTGCAATAAGTTTCGGACATAGTTCAGCTCAGGCGATCCGGGAAATTCCTAGGGTAGGATTAACCCCACCCTGAAGTTAGCAGTAAAGGCCTTGTATTTTGTGTGTGCCGTTTCGAACCGACATCAGGTATCCGTATTAGTACTGTATAGAGAACTCTGAAATATTATCTGTAATTTGATACCTATTGATGCATATTTCAGGCGTTCATTTCGCGAACGATTACTGTATCCCGCGTTTCTTTCTTCCACAGTGGAATTGATTGGGATATGTGCTGCATCTGACATCAATCCATTTTACCATTATATTTGGTGAACATTCACTTGATTTGAATTGTGTTTGTTACAATAGTATCGAAAACGTATTTGCTGCCGAATTGTATCAACGGAAGAGTAGTTTTGCAATTACTTCTTGATGCCGGAATATCTCACAAGGGTTTCCTCTTTCTCTCATTATCGCAGTGGGAGCGAGTGTGCCTTCGCTGAACCATTCGCGAGCTGTTCCTCATCGCTAACCGATCGGGGTTGCAGGGAGGGACGGCGTCGAAATGCTCATATCCTGGAGCTCACAGCTTCAGTTCTCAATTGCGTCAGCAGCATGGGAGCGTTTGCGAAGTGCTTCGCCTGATCACTTCTAAATTTGGATGCTTTTGTAAGTCTTCTGAGGCAGCCTATATCGAGGATCGAACGAGGAAGTGAAGGATTCGTGCCATGTGCTTGGTGGAAAGTCATCCTGCGTGCATCGGAATGATCAGGATCCAGTTCGACTGTGTGTGAATGATTTGAGAGAAATCGGGTGAAATGTTTCCGAGTAGTTCGTCGGATTCCAACGGTGTATCCACCGGATCTGATGTTTCTACGCGATGGAAGGGGATATTTGTATCCTCCCTGAGAAAAGTGCTACATCAGGTACATCAGTCGCTCTCTGCTAACGAAGATGCGTTGCATCACGTGGAAGGTCTGATCTTGAAGTTGCTGGATATCCTTTGCGCCAAACCATCTCCTCCTCATTCGATTGCGGATGTGGAGGAACGTGTGCAAAAAAGTTTTCCTAATCCCATCGACAGGCAAGTTTTCTTCCTCTTTCAATTTTCAGGTGTCTGAAGATCGCATTTTTCAGATGGGCTCTCGCGGATGCGAAGGACGCAATTGATCGTGGTAAGAAGAAGTCGTCTATTGTGTTTCCCGTGGATAAGATCCACACGCTGCTCCAGAAGGAAGTATTGCAGTATAAAATTGACTACAACGTTAGTGTTTACATCGCCGCTGTGCTCGAATACATTGCCGCTGATATTTTGAAGGTAATTTTTGATTCTATGCCCTGCTTCACCTGAGTTTACGGGAAAATGTTGCTCAATTTCAGCTGGCGGGGAAATATGTGAAGAACATCCGGCATACTGAAATTACCTGTGAAGACATTACTGTTGCTATGTGTGCAGACAAAGTGTTGATGGACCTTTTTGATCAAGATGGAGCTGTTGGAGGTACAATGAATATCCCGGAAGAGCGTACGCTTGATCTGGCGTCGACTTATGATGAAGTTGTGAAAGATCTAATTGCACGAGAAAAGCAGTACCGTCGCGAGTTGCACATGATCATCAAAGTTTTCCGTCAAATAATTTCTGTACATCCATCCAAGAGTGACTTGGACCTGATATTCAGTAACATTCTCGACATCGAAGAAGTTACTCTGAATTTTCTCAGCTCATTGGAAGATTCAGCGGAAATGAACGAGGAGAATAACTTCTTGGCGGTCGGTTCATGCTTTCTGGAATTCGCGGAAGTAGAGGAATTTGCGGTGTATGAGAAATACGCGAAAGGAGTTTTGAGCTCTGAGGCTCGAGACAAATTGAATGAATTATTATCTGACGGCGTATTCTCCCGTGCGCTGAGATCTGCCGGGCATGGTTTTAAAGAAGCCGTGAAGTACGTTCTTCCGAAGTTGCTGCTTTCTCCAATATATCACTGTCTAGAGTACCTCGATTATATTCGAACTTTGCATCGTGTGAGCGATTCTGAAGATGATAGGGAAAGTCTGGATGAGGCTGGCAGCCTTCTTAAACCTTTGGAAATTGAATTGGAGCGAGTGATCGGTATGAATGACTTGCCGCCAAGGGGTGTGAAGAAGTTCGGCGATGCCGTACTATACTACAGTCACCGGAGAACTAGTCGCCAAGACACGTTGAAGAAGTTGTCAGATCTTCAGAAGGCTATCGATGGCTGGGAAAGCAAAGACGCGGGGCAAAGTTGCAATGAATTCATCTTGGGTATGGTTACTTCGGATGTTTTCTCTGTCTGTTTCTAATGAGCGTGTATGTTCCGATTTATTTAGAGGGCGTTCTCAAAAAACTTGGAACAAGAAAACAAGTAACGGAGCGGTATGTCATTCTGTTTGATGGACTCATGATATTGTGCAAACAGAATTTTAAGAGAACATCAGTGACTGGAAGTTCCGCCGAGTACCGTTTGAAAGAAAAATTCTACCTTCGGAAGGTCGAAATAATTGATCGAGAAGACACGGAGGAGTTGAGGCATGTCTTTGAAATTGCCCCACGTTTTCAACCGCCTACAATCCTCATTGCTGGTTCGGAGAAGGAAAAAAGTTGTTGGATGGCGGCTTTGATCAGACTAAATACGAGAAGTATGCTAGAAAGGATTCTTGACACACTGTTGCTCGATGAAGAAAAGCAGCACCCATTGACTCTCCCACCTGTGGATAAGTACCGTTTCGCCGAAGAGGATTCTGCGAAAAATATCATCGAGACGACGAATGGAAAGAGTGGAGTGCCAATTATCAAGGGAGCAACGCTGTCGAAGCTTGTTGAGCGATTAACGTATCATTTGTACGCTGATCCTAATTTCGCCAAGGTCTTTCTGACTACCTATCGCTCGTTCTGTACGCCGCATCAACTCCTGGACTTTCTCGTCGAGCGTTTTGATATTCCGGAGTATCCGTTCACATCCAGCTCTGATGCTACCCCCGGGTTGGCAAATGAACTCAGTGGCATTGATCGGGAAAAGGCCAAACGGTTCCGAAACGAGTATATGAAGCCGGTACAGTTCAGAGTATTGAATGTGATACGTCAATGGGTGGACAGGCATTTTTATGATTTTCGACGTGATGAAACTCTTCTCGTGAAGTTGCATGCGTTTCTTGATCGGATTCGTGGGAAATCAATGCGAAAATGGCTTGACTCAATTCATAAAATCATTAACCGTCGTTTGGAGCCCGTGGAAGAACAGCGAGAGATCACCTACGCCCAGGACAAGTAAGCTCATTGTTCATTAGGTGACTCAAATCGTACTACAGCGCGAGAGAACCGGAAAAAATGCCTTAATTTTTTCTTTTCTAATGTGACGGGAATAAATTACAATAATTAAAATTCCTTTTGCGGATCTGCGTTCCTTCCTGGTACACCAACTAAAAGAAATTTACTTGTACTCTCTTCCAATAGGGTTAAACCAGCTATTGAGCATCATTTGCCGTGTTCCGATGAAGACTATCAATCCATGACTCTCGTTCTACTTCAATTACATCCCATTGAACTGGCTCGCCAAATCACGCTTCTGGAATTTGAACTGTATCGGGCAGTTCAACCGTCGGAACTCGTTGGATCTCTGTGGACGAAGAAGGATAAGCATGTAACATCTCCCAATCTATTGAAAATGATACATCACACCGACAATGTTACCCGATGGATGCAGAAATGCATCGTGGAAACAGAAAATATGGAAGAGCGAGTTGCCGTTGTTTGCCGTATTTTGGAAATCATGATCGTGCTTCAGGAGTTGAACAATTTCAATGGCGTACTCGAAGTTATCTCTGCCATTGACTCAGCATCTGTGCACAGGCTTCAGTTCACGTTTCAGAATGTTCCGCTGAATCGTCTAAGGGCGCTGGATGAAGCGCGAGATCTCAGTAGAGATCATTTAAGAAAATACGTTGAAAAGCTACGATCTGTGAATCCTCCCTGCGTACCTTTCTTCGGAATGTACTTGACGAATATCCTGTATATTGAGGGTGGGAATCCAGATATGCTGGTCAGTGATGGTGCGGAAATCATAAACTTCAGCAAACGAAGGAAAGTAGCGGAGATCACTGGTGAGATTCAGCAGTTCCAGAACCAGCCGTATTGTCTGTCCGTGGAATCGAGAATCCGGGTATGTTGAATTTTTACAGGACTTTTATTTTGTTCTGATTTCATGATTTTGATTTTTGGAAAACTGGTTTATTGTAATAAATTTGATTCTATTCTAGTTTTAGTGATCTTAATGCGACAGATTACGCTTCGCTATTTTTCAGAACTTCCTGGTGAACTTGAAACCTTTCGGAGACAAAAATGATCGGGAAATATCCGACTTGCTCTACAACAAATCGCTGGAAATAGAACCCAGAAGCGTCGACAAACCACCGAAATACGTGAGTTTCCATATTTTTTGCGCTAGTGTTTATGGATAAACATGTGGGTTTATTTCACAACGTGCTCTTTTTACTTTCTTCGCGTAAACTAAAGAATCCCCGCTGTACCGTGTCTCATCTGAAGTTCGATTTTTTTTTCGCCCTCCGTCAACAGTGTACAGTTATCAGGTCTTCTTCAATACGTCGAGGATCTCTGTTCTGTAAGATTCTCGGGTTTTCCCAATGATTGTATTGCATGATAGAGGCTCGTATATTTCATGTGAGTTCAATGCTCCATTGTTTCGGATTTCACGAATGCGAAAGAACAATCAAAGTTCACAACTGCATTCGAAGAACGTAGAAGCATTCGCAAAATCTCTTTTAAGAAATGAAACCGCGTCAACTATCACTCAGGATTCTGCAGTACACGTATACGGTATCATATCCTCTCCGTATCTTTTAGTTTAATGAAATTCTGCTCTCAGATTGTCACCTCTCTTGTGAAAACAGGACTCGATTCGAAAATTAAGATTCCTGCATTGGTTCAATTGTTTAACTCATTCTAATGATTTTTAGCTAGCTTGGAACTGTTCCGTGTGTAGATCGTATCGAATAAAGATGCTATGACGAAGTTATTATTCATGAGTTGAATTAATTTTGTATGTCTGCTATTATATGATCGGGGATTCTTGGTAGATACGTTAACGTAGATACAGAGGCAGAATTTTTGAAGGAGCTATGTTAGCATGATAAAAAGAGCTGAAGCAATTAGAATTCATTTTTTCCACAACAAATATTTTGTGCCTGTCCAGGTGGGGCAGTGAACATTTCACAGTTCAATTGTGGTCAGAAGAACGAAATCGCTGTCTCTCACAGAACAAAAAATTCGGTGGCTTAAAAATCCCGACTCGCCGGAGCTGTCTCCTTATGGCTTTTTTCTGTACGGGAAGTGGAACATTTTTGGAATCATTTCATGCTGAATAGTACAGTGGGTCCCAGCTTTACAGGAACCCCATGCAAAGGTTTTTTGCATTTCAAAATTTTGTAATGGGAAGAAAGCGACTCACTTCTGGCCAAAGCATCCGTGAATTATAGCACGTTTCGAGCTGGAAGTGTGGAATTTTTACAAATGAAGAGGGAAACGAGCAAAAAATTGGTATACTTTTCTTTAAAATTTGTGAATTTCAGGAAGTTGAGAGCACAAACTTGACAGGATGATGGTAAAGTACTTCAATTTCATCCTAATCAATTTTAAATTCACAATCTTATGCTTGAAAAATGCATAACATTTTTGTTGATGATGGTATTTTGTGAGTGTCTGGTGGATCGGATATTTTAAAATTTTTAATCGAGGGAATTATGTTTCACATAACAATTTTTAATAACAAAGCACATCCAGGAATGAATTAATTTAATCATTCAGGGAACTTCTTCATTAATTTGTTAGTACCGCCTGTAAGTCGTTTTTTCTCAATGTTATTTGATTTGAGGAAGGATGCGTATTGCTTTGTGAGAAATATTTCGATATTATTAAATTTTAATGGCCAACTACAAGTTAGGGACGCTATTTCATGAACACTGTCCTTAAAACGTATTATCCGCTCAGAATAATTTTATTATGCTGCATGCAAATGCATTAGATGATGTCTACTTTTTTTAGGACGAGATGAATATCGTATTTTTAAAAAATGGCAGACACTTGACCGGAAATTTCAATCTTACTATGTATGACATTATTGCTTAAATTATTGTGATTCTTCGAGGATCTTTGGTGACTATTACCTTGAGTGCTTGCGCAGGCTGTGTTTGTGTATGAATTGTAACCCATTACCTGCTGTGGGCCCCATTTGGGACTCAGGTAATTTTTGTCCCCCCCCCTCCTCCCTCTCCAAAATACCATCATAACAAAAATTATGTAAAAATATGACAAGGCTTCAAAATGGAGTTATCTGCAATTCAAGATCTCATTTGACAAGTTTTGTTCATTTTTCATTCTGCAGCAACTTTTTTTCTGAAGCCAACTCACAAATTTGGTTGGAAAGTTGAAACATGAGTTTGAAATGGAAGAAAAGTGCTTTCAAATGTAGCCCAACTCAAAATTGTGTATGTCCTTGTAGCCTGGTTAGTTTTGAAAGCTTTGGCACATTTTATTATATTGTTTGATACTTCGATCAATCACAATAGGTGCAAATACCTTGACACCAAATGGGGCTCATGGCAGGTAGGGTGTAAAAAATAGATTTCAGAATTTCCTGAAAACGTTTCAAAAAATGTCCTTATCTTGAATATAATCAACTACTGAGCTGAGTATGCAAAAGTAATAAAAACATGTGGAACCACTAAAATTTTCATTGAATTCATTTTTTTCAATTCTTCTTCTGCTTGTAATGAAGAAATTTTTTCTGAAAAATTTTATTGAAGATGCCCCTAATCTTTTGAACTTCATCAAACAGCTGGAAAATCTTAACAAATTACTTGGTTTATGCAGCCTATAAACAGTGAGACCCCAAGATGCAGATGTAATTGGTGCATCAAGAGTGTCCCCCAAGTCAAAATGTCCCAAAGTTGAGTCTTGTTTTCCCATAGACTTTAATTAGTGTTTTATGGAAGAAATATTCTTCAGAATTCCCTGAAAAAATTGTTTTTCACTTGAATTTGAATTAGTGAATACATTTTCAACTCAATTTGGAGCATCGAATAGTGTATCTCTGTACTGTACACTGAAATTTTGGCATCTACAAAAATAACATTCAAGTGAAAAAAAAGTAGAAGTCCCTGTATACTGGAAGTAATTTTTTTTTAATCAGCTAAATGGATGATAATTTGGTGAGAGAAATGCCCAAGAACTTTTCTTACATCAATTTTAGGGCTGGAAATATCTGTTTCTTGTAATTTGGCCTGATATGTATTTGCAATTTTACTCATAATGTCCTGCCAAATTTCCTACACAATATGTTACCTTTAAACCTTTAAAATATGTTACCTTTAGAATATGTCCTTTTTTGAGACTCCGAATGAATTTTTGAGGAGAATATTTGATCAATATCATCTCTCCCTTTTTGTTAATGGGAACTGAGTACTGGTTACGTAGTCTGCTCTGAACAATTGTTGGAAAGGGCTAAATATTTGGAAGTGGTCAAGCCTCTTGTGCGGATGCGTATAGGTGTCTTATTAACATGGTATCAAGAAATCGTTCCGCCGAAACAGACGATTCAGATGTTTTCATGTTCGTCTGGGCACTATTTTGCATTTTTATCGAGGAAGGACTGTTCATTGAATTATATCAGAAGCAGGCTGAAAGAATCTGGCCGGTTATCGGAACTCTCACAGTTTGCCCTCAGGAATACAGAAGCGGAAGCTACGTTGGTGTTTGCCCTCTTCGCTGTGATGGAAAGTGAAGGGAAAAGTGCACAGTACGGTATATTTTTTGAAAACAAAGCAATGTACTGTACCATATTTTGTGTAAAACATGTGCAGAATTTAAATATTAACCTGAGTTATCGATTCACAGTGCTCTTTGTCACTCTTCCAACATATCGAAGAGTGACAATTCCGCATAAGAATGCAACTCATTACCGTATTTCTTCCGAATTGCTGGGAAGACGAGCTCAAGATATGGAGAATATGCAGATGCAATCGTTAGAAAAATATTTTTGACACATTTTCCTTGGTCAAAAAGTACAGAGAAATTAAGGGTATCTTGTGTTCTACAGTATCAGTTTGAAGAAAATTTTCTTTGTTCTACATCTTACTCTGACAAATTCAGTACTCTAATTATATTCCTTATAACTCTTTTAATAAATTTTTTTTTAGATTGCCGAACCTGTGCCGAAAATAACACAAAATCTTTTATATACGTATCCAATTGTTATTAATGAGGCATACATTTGTATCGTGAATAATTTCAGGTTCGTCGTTGGCCGACGTTACCACTGAAAAGCCCGGGAATAAAACCGCGGCATTGCACGAAGAATGCCCCGTATCCATTATCGTTAGGAGATCGGATATTTTCTTCTTCTCGCTCGCTCATTGGCGGCGATTCTGTGGACGAGGTAGAGACGCACACTGCCCATTCCCCGTTGACGCCGCCATCGCCGAGTTCGTCTACACCGTCGACACCAACTCCCGATTCCGCCGTCTTTGCCATGGTCCAGATTGGTGGCAACGGTTTGTGCTCCATTCCTAATTTCGCATAAATGCTTTCGAATAAGTTGAACACAGGTATTCCTTCAATGTAGAGTGATTTTTTCACGGTAGATGGTCAGCTTCTGTTCATCTGTGTTAAATCATCGACTGCTGGGAAAAGTCCGATTGAACATCGACAAAATTAATTTCTGTAGGTATGCGGTATCACGATTCGCCAATCGTATTTCAAGGTTCAATATTTTGGCGCGATTTTCATGCATCATTCGAGTCATCTCTTGATCTTGTCCGCAACACCATTCGTATAGATTCTCAGCAATTTTAAACATAAGAGTCTCTGATTAATTTGAAATGTATTCGTGTGTGCATTATCACAATGCAGAAGACATTACGGATTACGGGTTTCTGTCTCCATTTTAAGGGAGAATTCTTGGGCAATCACTTTTTTTCTCATCTCAATGTTGATTTAGCCTGATTATCCTCTCGCAAACCTTCATGCATCCCGAATTGTTTTCCTATTCCGATCGGCTTTTAGTTTGAGCATGTCTAATCTGAAGTAAATACTGCACCTTTACCGATTTTTCAAATGTACTGTATATTCATCGAGGTGATGGAATCTGGGTACGCTTCTTCGAGTCTGGTCTTTAGATGGTTTCGTGATTCATGTGCATCACTGTGTTTTCTCACCTTACGGTGTGATGCTATTCGAGCGTTTATTTTTACCCTGTGTTTCCTGACTGATGCGGTGGAAAGTACTACATATCTCCGTGGCTTCAACTGGATCATAAACCGCGATACTAATGTTTCCTAGTCTGCCGGAGAACTCATGTTATTTCGGCATGCTTTTATGCTGAAGTAGTGAAGTTGTTTTGTTCTAATTCTTAAATTCAGTGATCAGAGGTCTGATGTAACGTATTGATTTGTTTCTAGGTGTTTGTAACCTCATTTTTTACGATGCACCATTTCGCGTTGGTTGATGTATAATTTTTCTTCGAAACGAATGGCTTCGCGAGTACCGTATTTCTTCGCATATTTTTTGCGTGGAATTTTCACAATTATCACAATTTTCACAAGTTCGAAGAAAAACGGAGGGCCTAATGAAAATTTTTTCATTTATCAGTTGGTCAGATCGGTTGTGGCCCACCACCTCCGTTGCCTCCGAGGTCAGCGCGGAAGCAGCGAGATGTAGAGCGTCGTGATGGCTCGCCACCGCCTTTGCCACCGCGCCGGATTTCCGCTCCGTTGGATAGTAACAAACCGAACTGCTCAATGCGGTCGAATACAACCCCCGTTTACAACGGCATGCCGCCTACCCCGACATCAGGAATTACGAAGGCTCCGATGCCGCTTCCAGACCACCATAATCCGCCCGAAGCTTTTGTCTACCCACCACTCCCGACCCACCGAAGTCACTACCCCAGCGGTGCCGTAGGGCCAGAGCTTCCTCCGAAGACGTACCGCCAGTCCCACAAGGCAGACGCTCCTCACGGAGGTGGCCTTCACAGCCCAAGCTACCACGGCGCCAAGCGTTAGGTGCTAAACAAGCCGCCGTTTCGTGTGTTCAGGGACTTACCTGAGGGTGAAACCCGTGACTGTGGGTCAGCGATCATCGATGTATTTCTTTCCGTGGTAAACCCGGTTTATTTGCTGTTCCTTGAATGGCACGGGAAACTCTAGTGAGTTTCACGAGTCCAATCTGCAGCATCTCTGCTCTGCGAGCGGATATGCACTGCGCCACTTGATTGATACATTATTGTTCGTCTTCGCTATTCATGGAAAATGAACGTATCCGCCATCAAGATTTAAATGGAAGTTTCTTGCCACCCGCTTGGGTCGGGAAATGATGATTGTGTTCGGGGATTAATACGTCGACAATTATGAATGGAAAATATTGCAATTATTGAATTGTGTCGAAATCGATTGCTCATGTTTTTATTGCTCTCTGAGTCCGTTATACTGCATCGGGCACATGAATGTTGAGCAAAGTGGATGAGAATAGAGAACGGAGGAGTTGTGGCTTGAAGTCTTGCTGGCAGAGCGGACATATTTGACCGGACTTAATGGAAGAGTTTTTGTTTCCCGCGAAAGGAACAAGTGAGTTGCGAAGTTATTGAAAGCTTCGACGTCCCTTCGTTGTCGGTTGCCCGAGAAGTGTTCATTTCGAAAGGAGTTCGATGACTTACGCAGCAGTAAACTTTCAGACCGAAGTCGTCGTATGAAATGGTTTAAATCGATTCACTCCCATTATGATGAGTGGCCGCAATCTCGACGTCTTGATAGCTTTGCTCGAAATTAACCGGTGCATTCGGCTCAAAGCTGTTAAGTCAGCCTTCGAGACGAGCTTGCACAAGTTGACTCAGTCCTTTTCTTCGGGAAATGCCATCTGCATATCTACCGTTCCCGTAATTTTACTGAGGCTACTTGAATATCTTTCATTCCACTTCAACTTCCTCGGTGGCATTCCTACAAAATGATTGATGAAAGAAAACTTACTTGAGGTACGAATGTCGAAGTATATGGATGAGACCTCTTCTTCCATTCGATTGCTCTTGGATTATGAATTCTGTGTGCCATGTTCGTGTTCCAATTTTTTCTACTTTTTTTTTTGTTCTTGAAACGCAACTTTTCGCGGGATATTAGTGTGGCGGGGTATATATTCGCCGATCCATCCCTAGAATTGATATGAAATTTTCCAACCCTTATGTGTTGAACTAATCCGAAATTCCTCAAGTTCCGTGTATGTCTTGAAATAATGGGGTTTGGTGTTCGCGATGAAAATTGTTCATTCTTCTTGACTGTCGTGTGACACTTCATACATATGTCAGTTCGGTTGTAAGTGCTGTCCAACAAAATTTTTGGTGTCTTCTTAATAATCTCCAGTCTCATGGCAAATATCAAGTTTTCCGTTTGCTTTGGTGCAACATCTGGGATTTTAAAGCTGCTATGGAAAAATTGGAGGTGGGAAAAGCAAGGAAGGAAAGCGAAACAAAAAAAGATTTCTACTTGTGCAAGTATATGTGATGTCAGTCGGTGATGATATTCTTTGACGTATTCGTCTTGATCATGGAGAGAGCGATTGATCCTTCCTTTTTCGAGCGTGAGCGTGTCAATCCTGTCGGGACGGCGTGTTCTTTTTCGCGGTTTTTTTTTTCGGAAAAATGTTGCGGGTATAATGGGGTTCTGCGGTATTCGGGTGAGAGACTAATTCAGGCTTTGAATTTTCCCCGTTTTCCTATGATAATGCGCTACTCTGTGCCATTCTGTTGTTCGGTCGATGTTTCTTCCCCGTTCGAAGTTCTCAAACGACTAGCATTTTTACATTTTCAGGGTATTTTTGGTACGCCGTGATGGTTTGGAATTGATTTTTATCTTGGCCCATTGTCATGCATACGTTCTTATATCTCGGTTCGCTTGCCGCCACGCTCTCCTTAATTTGTTTTGTGTTGTACAGTTGAGATCGCACTGTGTATATTTTGGTATTGGAATTTTTCGTTCTTTCGATTCTCCAACCCTTGCGCAAATGCCGACTTCAATTCTCGTTTCTTTCTTGGGTGGAAATCGCGTTTACGTTCTGTTTTACGGTGACTGTGAGTATATGGAGATTTATATGAACGTACGAAGGAGCAAATTGTGCTAATAGGAATAAAAGGCGGATATGTGAACATTTGTATCAGGTTGACTTGGTACATGATGGCTTCCTTTCGTTTGCCAGTTGTTAGTTATGAAAAATTAAATTCTGAATTTGTTCGATTTCATTATCGTAAACATTTCCTCCAAAATTTACAGAAGACTTAAATTTCATTGAGGATTCCGTTCAGTTCTCATAATTACAGTACTTACTTTGAATCGTTCGTTACCAGTCCATTAGTTGAGTTCCGATTACGATATTTGTTACATCAAGGGCCCCAATTAAGATCAGCAATCGTGCTATAATCTTGACATCCTGCCAATTCTATATTGATCTTTTTTGGCGCTGTTTTTTGTCCATTTTTATCTACGTGTAACACATATTCCATTTTATAATGCATCGAACCACAGCAATGATCAGAAGTAGCCCACTCAATTGATAGTGTTTTGCGTCATATCCTGCACAATCAATCCGCCACAGTCGAAAAATTCAAATGCATTATTGTACTTGGATTTCCCGTTCGTGTTTTTTTTCGTGAAGCTTCAATTTTCTTCGGGGGTTTTTATGTGATGTTGTCTTACGTGGCAGACATGCATTCTTTCACTCTGCCGTTTTCACCAGTGTACTTGGTATTTTTTTAATTCGCTTAATTACTTACCTTGTTGCGAATGATACTTTCGACCCAAAATGTATGTTCTTTTCTGGTAGGAACTATGAAGGGACTCGTTAACGTGGTGTTGCTCAGTCAGCTAGCCGCGTATTTCGCGGGTTTCGTGTTGTCCTTGTGTTTATTCGTGCCGATGACGTTACATCTGTATGATTTTCGTGGATTTTGCTTGCTTTTCTCCACTGGGACATGGAGGGAAGAAGATGGACAATTTGTCGTCGACTGGGCGTCGCAGTTGTATTGCGATTACTGCATCGCTGTTGGAGGATTGCTCGCGATATTGTGCCTGGTCCAGATGTATCGGCTGATCACGTTTCTGTACAGAGGGCTTGACAGGTTCGAGAATTTTTTTGTATTTTTCGAAGAAGCAATTAATTTTATTTTCTCACAGTTCGTTCCTCTCGGCTTTCTGCGATGTGGTCATAAGCGTCGGAATGGCTGTGTTGGTGCTTGCAAGTGCGGTGATGATCACTACGGGATTCAAGAGTTGGTGCGACGACATAATGGGACGGTTTCCCTCCTGCAATGATGCTGCAGTGAATCCAATCGACAAGGCCGATGGGATTCAGACTTCGGGATTTTATGTTCAGCTTGGTACAGCCCAGGTAAGGAAATAAAGTTGCTATTACCTGTGGTTATTATCATTCTAACCCTCCCCCTGGAAAAGCTGTGCGACCATTCCAGACAAGTGACGTATTAAAAACAGAAAGACAGACTTTTTTTTTTTCAATTTGAAAACAAAAGTATGACTGAAGTAAACCACAACATCCTCGTCCCGAAGTGAAGGTACTTGAAATGGACCCTAATGCGTTTCTTTCTTTTTTTATACTTCGGAAATATAATTCAGCAAGCCCGAAATCGAATACAGTATTCTGAATGATCCTCACGTGTCCCGCCGTACATATAGTATTTTTTTATTAAAGATTTCTGTTTACCATGGAGAAGTTTTAATATTTTCCGCTGCAGGCGATAGAAGCCCACTTTTCGATAGTCATAGTCGCCGTCACACAGATTTTTGGCCTTGTTTTCTGAAGACTTTCATTGAAGTCATGGATTGTCGTCAGTTTATTGCTTTTGGATTGAAGTGGAAGTAACGTTATTTTGTAGTTCGGAGCATGGGGTTCCTGGGCTGCCTGCGTGGGTATGTCTGTATTCGCATTGCTGAAAGTATGGCAGTATCACAAGTCCGAAAACATCAAGCTCACCATGGCGCAGAACAGACGGCGGTTTAGGAAAGGGAATGTAGAGGATGCCGCGGATATGGACTTGATCCGAGGCTGAACGTCGAGTTCTCAAGACGATGCGTTTACTTTTTTGAAGCATAGCGTGGAATGTCCGCTGCCATTTTTGTCGGACTGCAGTTGGAGCGGAACATTCAGTAAGATCAAAACCGGTCAAAGCAAATCCTAAGGTTGGGGTTTCCTCCAAGTTTTTTTAAACATCAGATCGGGTTTCGAGGAAGAGTCTCGTGAGGCTTGATTTTTTTTTACCGGACAACTGTGTCATTTGTGATTTGATTCGTTCCGTTGCCCATTGCACCTGTGTTGCTGTGTGTAACAAATAAAGTGAGTAAGGTTTTTTTTCATCAAGATGGTTGTTTCCCCACTGAATTCGTGCAATTTTCGCAGTGCAAAGAGTGTATCGAAGTCTCATATTCTATTCCTTAAGGTTTATATTTTAGGTTGAAAATGTTGAATCCGGATGACTTTTCCGTTCTGCTACCCATCGAAATTGGGCTTGTTGTAATTGCAAACTTGATGTGTGCGATACTCACGGCCACGTCGAATACCTATTCCAACCTTACAGCTTTCATCGTCATAAATTCCGTGGCGCAAATGGCGTCGGTGGATTTGAAATCAACGGTTCATTTCAACTGCCTCAGAGGTGTCGCCAGCCGTGTAAGTATGATTTTGAAGTTTTATTTTGAAGCAATTCGTGGAATACTGCACCAGTGCTGTAACTTCAGAAGGGTTTACTCGGAGTAATTAAAAGCCGGTTCAAGTTTCTGAGTCATTCGGAAAGCGTTTCTTAGATTTCCTCAACTTATTTTCAGGGAGTTGTGAATTCTTTGGTGGCGTTCCTTTGTCGTATCGTACCTGTGATCTGTGGTGCCGCACTCTGGCATTTTGTTGCCGTTCTCTTCGGTGCTTATTTGACGAAGTGAGTATAACCAACTTCTTTTGTTCCACATGAATCCGTATTCCTTGAACATTTTGTCACCCACGAATTTCTCCCGGATACAGTAATTCACGGCTTCACGAAAATTTCAACTGAATTTTCGTTTCGTCTGAATTTAACTAATCTTCGAGCTTTTGGTGAAACGAACTAATTTTTATTACAAATCGTGCACTTCCTGGATCCATCGTGCTCTGCGAATAGCCCTTCGTTGGTTTTTCTTGAATGAGTGCTGAGAAGTGAAAGAAATTTGCAATTCGAATTACTTCAGAAGCGGTGCACCATGAGCATGTAAATTTTGTATATTTTTAGGGAAGTGATGGCGACTGCCAACTTTGGTGTACTCATGTCGATCTTGACTGTGCTTCCTCTAGTCACACATCATGGACTCACATGGGATCATTCGCAGTGGATGTTTTGCTTTGATATTATCAGGTATTCTGTCGTTTCGTCTTTCAACAACGTTCCATAAAAGCTTTTCTCTTCGAGGTAATGAGTGGAGTTTTGTGAGTACAGTAACGTTTTTTCTTTGAGTTGATAATTTTCGTGTAATCGTTCAGTTCGCTCTCGAAGATTGAAGCTTGAAGAGGTTGGTCATCGTGGAATGCTTGTCGTATGATTTCCGTTACATTACAACTATCATTCGAACGACCCTGTCGTTAGACGCAAGCCAGTGAGACTTTTTGGCGCGTTTTCCCTAATTTTTCGAGTTACAGGATTTTCGTTGCCGCTTAGGTTCCCTTAGAGATGTGAAATGAGAAAAGTGAAAGTGCAAAACTGAACTTCCTTGAACCGCTAACCCATCCTAAAAATCTTCGATTTTGAACCCAAACCTAAGTTTGGTTCGCTAAGTAGAAAACGGGCAATCACTCGTGCATTTCTCGAGCGATTCCCGGCAGTTTTCGAATTGTAGAGGTGTATCGTCTCTTCGAATTATGAATAGTGGAAGGGTGGCCGCAAGTGGAAAGAAATCTAGAACGTATTTCGGCAGTGTGACAGCAATTGTCGAATAGTGCAACCGTCAATCGAATAATGGTTCGACAGCAAAAGAGGGTTTGTGTCGCTACACCATTTTTTGCTGTGGGCATGGAGACCAGGAAAGAAAAATGTCTGAAGTGCATAGAATAGATGAATGAATCGATTCAATCTTTTCGACATTTTTCTCACCTGTTGGAATGTTCGGAGTAAAATAAATAGGGTCGGACAAAGTGAAGGGAACAGAAGATATGGCTGCCGAGTGCCGAGTAATCGTGATTCTCTCAAGGCTCGTTAGTTGAAAAAAAGCTTCGTGCGGTTCTTCAAGCTTTTTTTTTCGCGGAACGCCTCAGCCCAAAAAAAAAAAAAAAAAAAAAAAAACAACACGTATGCTNAAAAACAAAAAAAAAAAAAAAAAAAAAAAAAAAAAAACCAACACGTATGCTGAAGTTTGGAAATAATCGCCCTAAATTTGTACTGTACTTCCGAGCCCCGATCCTCCCCCATGTCTGCATGTTTTTCAGTATCAAAAATTTGCCTCGGACTTCATGGCTTGGCTTGATGTGCTGTAAATCGTTCGATGCACGTTCGTGAGATTTTGCAGTAGGGGAGTTTAGCACTACGATTTCATTGTGACCTGGCGTATGCGTGTGTGGAAAATGTCACCCCACAGTCAGCCGAGTCAATCGTTCGAGAATTTATTTTCAGCTGGAAGTCCGATGGTCTATACCTGCTACCTAGGATATATGGGTCATGTATTGGCGCCTGGCTAGGTGCTGCTTTACTTCCTCTGGACTGGGATCGTCCCTGGCAGGTAAATTAAAATCATCCCTGAGACAAAAGAAAAATGTTTTTGCAAATCAAACCTCTGTTTTTTCTGGGCTTCGCATCCTGCGAAACACTGTGAATTCAAGCAGAAATTGCGGTCATTGACCATGATTTATTGTACCGGATCTATGCTTATGCATTTATCTGCATCTCCAAAGTTCGAACTAGTCACTTTCATGTCGGTTTTCTCTTGTACAGTACTGCATATCGTTGTTTTTATGCAGTTGTTCAGAACATTGTCCATGGAGAAAACAGGAAGCGTATTAAAAAAGATTTGCTTCGAAATCATTCTCTTCGCTTTGAATATTTTATTTTATTTTTCGCTAGTTATGTCAATACATTACAGTGTGCGTGAATCGATGAAAACATTCCGAAAGCCTTCAGCATGACGAAGCTCGGACACCTCGGCACCTTTTTTGCTGAGTCAAAGGAAGAGAAAATATTTATCTGATCTTCTTTCCCGCCGCTCTGATTTCTGATGCATTGATGGTAAACTGTTCGTTTCCAATTCGAATTTCAGCGGTGGCCTTTTCCCTGTGCAGTCGGTGCGATAACAGGACGCATCTTGGCACAAGTCTACACGCTCCGGCACGTGACGGCCAGAAGGTCATCCAAGAAAGTGTGACGCAGATCTATACGTACCTCCCCGACGGTATTTCAATACCTGCGGTTTTCAGTGAGCGACACTTCAATTAGTTATTCTCTTTCCCTGAGCTAGTCCGGAGTGGAATGAACCAGGTTCACTGAACGCAATTAGTCCGACTTTGTCTGGTTTCCCTGTGTGTTCTACTGTTTAAACCTTTGCAAATACTGAATACAGTACTGTATATATACGCTGATTCAGTGTATATATACTGTACATAGAAAGTCGAGGAACAAAGCCAGTAGTAGACTAACTGCTTTGAACGATAAACTGAAAATAATTTGAAAAAGTTGAGTGTACAGCACTGCATCAGAGGAGGCTTCTTGTCCTCGATCGAAAATCTCCAAAGATTCCCCGGAGGTTTTTATTCGTGATTTTCCTGCATGATCGCATTTTTAGTCTTCAAACTCTGCTTCGAAAACGATTCGCGCACGTTGTAGCAGGTTTGTTCGTAGAACAAAGGATTGGTGCGGTGACATAATCCTGATTTTTTGTTGGATGTCAGTGCAAACATCGATCATTTTAGTCCACTGTTTTCTGTCTTACACTTTCAACTTCATGCTGATCAAAATTTTTTGACGTGGAAAATGAAGTGGAGCAATAGTTTTTCTGTGAACCAATAAAGCTCATGCGTGATTCCTGATCACTAAGTTCTGAAACTCTTGCTGAAAAAGAGCGCGATTTCACCCCCTTTTTTGCGAGACTCGGTCACGGTGTGAAACCCGTGACCTGTTGTCCCGTGGTTTTGGTAGCGAAAATTTTTTCCTTGCGTTCACCCGGAGGAAGTAGACTATGAGAGCGGGTATTTCAGTGGGAGAGCGCAGGTTCATGTGCTCAACGACGGTCTTGGACTTGAACCGCCTTCTGGGATCGAATTCGTATATTTACACCCATGGGGTGCCCATCCCTCCTGACGACCGTAGCAAAAAAGTTGCAGCTGAGGTGAATTATTTCTTGTCCCCGATTTATTTTTCTTGAAAAATGATTCAATACAATCTACGCTTTGTGAAGCACAATATTTCGTCCCTCGGTGGAAGCTTCTGTCCAATGTCGCCGTGAAAGCCGGTATTTCTGAAGCTTAAATTACAGTATCGAAACTGTGTCGATTTTAGACGATAGATAAGTTTTGAAAGGTGAGCGGGTCTACGCGTGAAGTGTGAGGTAGCGCTTCAGCTTCGGGTCATATTCCTCAGATCAGAACGCTTGAAAATCTGGTCTGAAGAGTCAAGGGAAAGCTGTTTCAGCTTGAGCCAAAGATGAGACCCGCATTGGGACATTTCTTATCAGTAGTACTGTTAAGTAGAACTCCCAAATTATCCCGGCGTATGACCGGTGCTTTTGCCCGGATTGTCGAATATATTAAATTGTATTCGACGAATAAATGAATTTGAATAAAGAATGACCACATTATTTATTCAATGGTGCAGCATGTTTCGGAGTGCGCCGCCCTTGATAATTAGTACAGGAGGGTGAGGCGAAATGAATCGGCACAGAAGAGATCATGCTGATTATTCTGCTCACTATCATTCAATAAAAAATTGGGCCCTGTTAAATTGAATCCGCACAATCCAGTTGTTCTCTGATTTTAACTATCGAGTATTGTTTCTAAAATGTTCTTGCTTGCATGGAGGCTCGTGGTATGTACTTGAATTGAAAAATT